GAATAATTCTGCTTCAAAATGAGTTGATTAGTTTAGAAAGCAAGAAATAAAATAACCAGTATAAGGACTAACATGAGGGAAAAAAACAATAAATGTATATTTATACCACAATAAAAATCTCTCAATTATCTCAAATAATTTAGACCTGACTACTAACAAAAAGAACATTCAATCTGGCTTTACGGAGAGATCCATAAACAGAAGTTTCTAGAACAGGAACATAATATCAAAATACCAGTTCCGCTGAAGCTATTCAACATTCATTCAGGAGATGTTCACTGAGTCCCAGTGTTAGGACGGAAACATTTAGTTCTTGCTCTCAAGGACCTTACAACTTAGAGGGGAACACGGACAAGTCAACACATGATTTCAATGGTGTCATCCAGGGAGCCTAAGGTGCTAGGAGGCCAAAAGGGGGAAGCACCTAGTGCAGACCAGGGAAGGGAGTGGGGACCTGGGAGAGGGCAATGCCAGGTGCCTCCCAGTGCAGCTAAGTCTGAGCGGAACCTGAATACACTGAGAGCTGAAAGGAGAAAGCCTCCACCGAGAGCAAACGAACAGCAAAGGCCACTAAGAGAAACCATTGCTGGTTTAAAAACAAACAAACTCACTCACTGCCATTAAGGTGCTTCTGACACATAGTGACCCTCATTAGGTTTCCAAGGCTGTAAATCTTCACGGAAGCAGACTGCCCCATCTTTTTTCCATGGAGCCACTGGTGGGCTTGAACCACAGACATTTTGGTTAGCAGCCAAATGCCTTAGCCACTATACCATCAGAGCTCCTTACTGCTGGTTTAAGGAGCTGCAGAAAGCTCAATATGACCTAAGTTTAGAATGCTAGAACAGAAGAGTTGGAACTGAACAGGGAGACAGGGACCAGATCATGGAGGCCATTAGACGCCCAGCTGAGATGTGGAGACTTTTTATCTTGAAGTCCACAGGCAGCCACAAAAATACTAAGCAGGGGAGTAACCTGCTTTGCATTTTTGAAAAATCACTGTCTGCACAATGAGAAACATGAACGGAAGGAGGAATCATGTAGACCAGAGACTCACCATAGCTAAGTTTTATGCTATGTGCCGGATACTCCCCTGCCCACTGCCATCAAGTCAATTCCGACCCATAGTGACCCTACAGGTCAGAGAATTGCTCCATAGGGGTTCCAAGGCTATAAATCTTTACGGAAGCACACTGCCTCATCTTTCTCCCATAGAGGAGCTAGTGGGTTTGAACCGTTAACCTCTCAGTTAGCAGCCGAGCACTTAACCACTGCATTACCAGAGCTCCTTACTTTTTACCTAGTAACTCATATAATCCTCATTACAACTACGAGGAAGACAGTTGTTGTTGTTATGTGCCGTTGAGTCAGACCTGACCCATAGCGACCCCTCCTTGGGTTTCCGAGGCAGTATCACTATGGAAGTAGATTGCCCAGTCTTCCTTCCGAGGAGTGGCTAGTGGGTTTGAACCGCCAGCCTTCTGGTTAGCAGTCAAGTGCCTTAGGCACTACGCTACCAGAGCTCCCGAGGAAGACAGTAGTAGTATCCCAATCTCATAGCTGAAAAACAACTAAGACACAGAGATGTCAACTAACTTACCCAAGGTCAGCTATTAGAGGTGGAGCTGGATTCCAACCCAGTCATGTTCTTAACCACTACGCTATTCTCCTCCATTAAGAGATCTGCTATAGTCATCCAGGCAAGAAACAAATGATGAGCAGCTGGAATAATTCAGTAGCAATGGAAAAGGAAAAAGAAAAGGGAGGGAGGAACTAGGGCAGTAGGTTGGTTTTTAAGCAAATAAATGCACAGGGATTACCTTACATGTAAAATAAATAAACCTGATTGATTGGTTCTTTTGTTAAAGCAGAGCTTTGATTGAAGCCAAGTGAGAAAGCAGTCCAGAACCCCACCACACAGTGTTCCCTTTGGCTGCATAGCAGCTCCTAGGACTGGGGCACCTGAGAGCTCCTGGGATCCAATTGTGAAATATTACTGACTCAAAGAGAAGCTATGGAGACAGAAGCTATAGGACTTGCTAGGAGATGGCCTGTGTCTTTCTATCTTGGGTGGCTGGTAAACGCTGCCAAGCATCCAGGCAAGGAAAGGAAAAGGAGGAGGAGAAAGAGGACATGGTGACTTCTCTTTGAACACAACTCTAGTTTGATAAAAAGAATTGGCCACCCAGGTCAGAAGCTCATAATAAACACCTGGGTGAGGGAAACAGCCGTGGAGGATCACAAGTACACAAAGGCAGGCAACCTCCAGAGTAAAAATGAATGAGTTCACAAAGTGAGAGTGTGTATTGTGAGAAGATGACAAAGTATGATACCAGATGCATCTCTTCATCTGCAGACCTCCCATTATGTTTTCTGGCATGAGTGAACACTGGGGTTCAGCATATTTCATTTAATAATTATTTTTGTAGCACAGAACACTGGTATAGTAAACTAAGTATCATGTTGAGCACAGAAAATGGTGGAAGCTCCATGGCTCTCACCACTCAGGCCTTTGCTCTGACACAGGTGAAATAATTTCCAAAGATAGCACAGATCATTAAAGAAGGTTCCACACCCTAATTGGAGAGGCAGGGTCTTGGTGAGTCACAGGCATAAACATTTTCTCAGAAACCTACATGGACTCTTTAATCAATTAGTTGCACATAAAAATTTAAAGAATGGGGG